GAATAACTTTAGCTCGGGCTAAAGTCGAGATACCTTTTATAGTTATACTGACGTTAGCTCGGGTCTGAAGCGGACCTGAACCACCTCCTGAGGTGGAATAACTTTAGCTCGGGCTAAGTGTTTTCCGACCTTTTATACTGGGGTTTATCCCGCTTCAGGTCCGTGCCTGAAGCGGGATAACCCCCAGTATAAAAGCGGCATCAGTAATGTAAACGACATCTGTAGAACGTCAGTTTTGCGATTACGGTGTTGATTGCGATGTCGCTTATGTTGTTAGTATGTTGTTATTATGCTGTTATGCTTTTATCATGTTTATTATGTTGTTATTATTGTTATTATATTCTTACTATATTTTCTTGTTGTTATTACGCTGTTATTTTGTTGTTATTGTATTGCTATTATGGTGTTATTGTATTGTTATTTTGTTGTTATTGTATTGCTATCATGGTGTTATTATGTTGTTATTATGTTGTTATTGTGTTGCTATTATGGTGTTATTGTATTGTTATTATGTTGTTATTGTGTTGCTATTATGGTGTTATTGTATTGTTATTATGTTGTTATTGTATTGCTATCATGTTGTTATTATGTTGTTATTGTGTTGTTATTATGTTGTTATTGTATTGCTATCATGTTGTTATTGTGTTGCTATTATGGTGTTATTATGTTGCTATTATGGTGTTATTATGTTGCTATTATGGTGTTATTATGTTGCTATTATGGTGTTATTATGTTGTTATTATGTTGTTATTGTATTGCTATCATGTTGTTATTGTGTTGTTATTATGTTGCTATCATGGTGTTATTATGTTGTTATTGTGTTGTTATTGTGTTGTTATTGTGTTGTTATCATGTTGTTATTGTGTTGTTATGTTGATCGTTACACGACTGACGTTAACTTCGGCGCTGTGCGTGTGTTTTCCCTCGCAGACGACCGTGGTGCTGGACGGGCGATCGTGGGCGCTAGCCGAGGTCGAGTCGGCGGCGTTGCCATGGAGCTACGTGCCGGCGGAGTTTGCGGCGTGGCGACGACCCGACCCGCCAGCCGTCGTCACGCAGCACGTGTTCCCGCCGCGACGCTTCGTCATCCTCACCCGCCAGGTGCGTAGGCGGAATGTAGACGGAACGTAGCCGGAATGCTGACAGTACGTAGATGGAGTGCAGACGGAATGTAGACGGAACGTAGGTGGAAGGTAGACGGAATGCAGGTGGAACATAGAAGCAATGTAGCCGGAACATGGACGAAACATAGATAGAATGTAGACAGAATGTAGAAGAAATGTAGACGGACTATAGATAGAACGTAGACGGAATGTAGATAGAATATAAATGGAATCTATGTGTCATCATTGTGGTATTCGGTGAAGTTAGGCAGTGAAAGCTAGATGCGTGTATCGTTCCAGATGATTGTTAAAGCTCAGTTAAAATCAATGCTTGCCTTTAGTGCTGCTGTCACCATGCCATTCTTCACGCGGCAATGTTTTTATTTGCTGTCCAAGATTTATAACGTTAGATTGCCGAGTGCGTTTCGTGACGGTTACTCTATGAAGATTGCATTTGCCTTAAACAACGATACGTAATAAATTAGATGGGAATTCACCGACTGAAATTGCCTCCCACACTTGCGAAACTTTGCTTATGCACCAGATGTACTTATATTAAAATCTTACGCGCTGCAGGGTAGCTATCTGTTTGATTTGCTGAGACCAGTGGACCAGCTGAAACAGCTTCTGGTGAGGAACAGCGGGCCGGACTGTGAGGCAGTGAAGGCCTTCTTCACACTGCACCAGGTACGCGCATGTGTACGTATGTGTGTGTGTGTGTGTGTGTGTGCGTCGGTGCGTGCGTGTGTACGTGTGTGTGTGTACGTGTGTGGGGGCGTGCATATGTGCGTGCGTGCGTGCGTGCTTGTGTGTGTGCGTGCGTGCGTGCATGGGCGGTGTGCGGGCGCGTGTGTGTAGGTATGTGTGCCCGTGTGTATGAGTGTTGTATTTTTTATGTGATCATATGACATGATTTTCTTGAGGGTTTAATAATCGGCACCATCTACTTCAAATCTTAGCATTTTCAATCTAATTTCAAAACTTATATGAAACATAAATGAAGCCATAATCTCTCCAATGCCAGCATTAATGCTCGTGTGTGTGTGTTTGTGTTTTTAGCGTGAGGTTATAAATGAAGCCATAATCTCTCCAATGCCAGCATTAATGCTCGTGTGTGTGTGTGTTTGTGTTTTTAGCGTGAGGTTATAAATGAAGCCATAATCTCTCCAATGCCAGCATTAATGCTCGTGTGTGTGTGTTTGTGTTTGTGTGCTGCAGGAGGCCCAGGCCGCCGCTACAGCCCTCATCCTCGCTTGCTCCAAGGCTGCCGTCGATCAACAGGTATAGCACGTCGAAACACCCGATTCCTCGATCTGACGAATCATCGGGTCGTTTAAATTAAAAGAAGGCTTGAGAGATGAATTAGTCTTAATTTTAGACGTAACTTCAACCTTTTCTCTTGGACCAGACCTCTACTTACCGCACGTGAAAAACTCGTATTTGTACCTTGTAATTGTTTCGTAATTTAAATTGTAATTGTTTTTAAATTTTTAATGTTTTAATCGTTTACTTGTTTTAATTTTTGTTGTAATTGTTTAAATTTTAATGATTTTGCAATTGCAATTGCATTGTAATTGTAATTGTAATCGTGTGGGAGAAACTCTGCGTGAGTGTATCTGTTGGTGGTCTGCGTTGCGATGTTGCGCAACGATGTTATGTCGCGATGTTGCACAACAATGTTACATCGCGATGTTGCGTGATGATGTTACGTCGCGATGTTGCGTGACGATGTTACATCGCGATGTTGCGTGATGATGTTACGTCGCGATGTTGCGTGATGATGTTACGTCGCGATGTTGCGTGACAATGTTACATCGCGATGTTGCGTGATGATGTTACGTCGCGATGTTGCGTGATGATGTTACGTCGCGATGTTGCGTGACGATGTTACATCGCGATGTTGCGTGATGATGTTACGTCGCGATGTTGCGTGATGATGTTACGTCGCGATGTTGCGTGATGATGTTACGTCGCGATGTTGCGTGACGATGTTACATGACGATGTTACATTGCGATGTTGCGTGATGATGTTACGTCGCAATGTTGCACAACAATGTTACTTCACGATGTTACATGACGATGTTGCACAACAATGTTACTTCACGATGTTACATGACGATGTTACATTGCGATGTTGCGTGACGATGTTACGTCGCAATGTTGCACAACAATGTTACTTCACGATGTTACATGACGATGTTACATTGCGATGTTGCGTGACGATGTTACGTCGCGATGTTGCACAACAATGTTACTTCGCGATGTTACATGACGATGTTACATCGCGATGTTGCACAACAATGTTACTTCGCGATGTTACATGACGATGTTACATCGCGATGTTGCACAACAATGTTACTTCGCGATGTTACATGACGATGTTACATCACGATGTTGCGTGACGATGTTACGTAGTGATGTTGCCTGACCATGTTACGTCGCGATGTTGTATCATGTTGGGTGCGTACGTGACGCGGGCTCGCTAACCGAGGGCTGTCGTTGTCGTGGTTACAGGTGTGTGAGTGGGCGACGCGAGCCTTCTTCCTCTACGGGGGTGAACCGAGGATGGTGTTCCCTGCGGTCGCGGACGGACAGGGATCGCAGACCGTGCTGCAGCCTACCAACCTCATCGGTGCTGGCGCATTCAGTAAGTGACCTGCCTGCCTGTTTTCCTGTCGGACTGCGTGCCTGGCTGCCTGTGTGCCGGCCTGCCTGCCTGCCTGCCTGCCTGCCTACCTGCTTGCCTGCCTGCCCCTGCCTGCCTGCCTGCCGTCTGTATTATATATCTGTCTGCCTGCCTGTTTGCCTGCCTGTATATCTGTCTGCCTGCCTGCTTGCTTGCCTGCTTATCTGCCTACCTGCCTGCCTGCCTGCCTGCCTGCCTGCCTGCCTGCCTGCCTACCTACCTACCTACCTACCTACCTACCTACCTACCTACCTACCTACATACATACCTACCTATCTATCTACCTACTTACCTACCTACCTACCTACCTACTAAGCTCTTACCTACTTGGGGCCATCATTTAGAATGGGGAACTTTGATGCCTCTATTCCAGTGCATTCTGTTCTGGTCAGTTCCTTCCACCCCACGCCAGTTTTCTTAACATCTACCTTCATTCGGTGAGTGGCGTTTCCATCTACCCTCATGCTGAAAGGAGGAATGCCATTACCACGGTTAACTGAGGTGAAATGCCCCAATGGTCTGTTGCATTCCCACGTTTTGCAAAACCTCCATTATAGCTGAGTGTAACCAGGTGCAGAGACCCTGCTAAGCTGTGCAAGGTCCTAGTTGGTCGGTTCACATGCAGTACCAAACGTTTTGTGTAGAATCTGTAGATAATGGTCAGAGTTAGAATTGTAGAATAGTAGAACTCTAGTCTTGTGAGGTTATGGATCGCTTCCATGGGGAGAATCGGTCACTCATTGGTTTTGCCCTTGGCTGTTTCAGGTTCTCCTATGGAAGGCAGCACCACCTTCATGGGTAGTCCTGCTACGGTGGGAAGAGGTAATTGATGATCATGCATGCTCCAACATGAAGTTTGGTCATAATTCTATAGAACTAACGCGCATACACGCACCACCCAAACACGTACACGTGAATAACTGCATCAAACGCACACACGCACTCACGTGTGCACACACATTCTGTTAGAACTATGAGGGTGGTTGAGAATGGAGTAGAAATGAGAAATGCCAGAGATGTAACTTACATGGGCTGTGCGAGGAGGGCAACTACCCACTCAGGTTTCGTGGAGAATGAACACAGGCCTAATAACATCTAAGTAATCATGAAATAATTGCAACAAATCATCGAGAGATATATTTTCCCTCCGCCCTAATCATATTTGTTTTTGTGCGTAACCATTTTAATAATTAATATGAATGATGATTACAGTATAATTTAACATAAATCAAAACAATGAACAAATATTTTATTTTATTTGAAATAGTAAATATCTTGTAAAAAAATATGACAAATTTAAACGTTTTGACGCTCTCTTTCTTCTATGATGCTCTCGTTTCACATTTGTCTCTCACTCCCTCTCTGTCTCTCTCTCTCTCTCTCTCTCTCTCTCTCTCTCTCTCTCTCTCTCTTTATCTCTCTCACTCTCTTTCTGTCTATCCTTCTCTCACTCTTTCTCTCTCTCTCTCTTGTCTATCTCTCTCTTGTCTATCCCTCACTCTCTCTCACTCTCTCGTGCGTACACGCACGCCTGCAGGTTTCAACCCGCAGCAGATGTCGACGCCCAACGTTGCATTCAGCACGCCTGCGATGCGTTCCGGCGGCTTCCAGCAGGTGGCGCCGCCGACGGTGTCGTCGTCGTCGTACGGCCAGCAGCAGCTCGGACCGGAGGTGCAGTTCTCCGGCAAGCACAGCGGCATTCATCTGTACTTCTGCAGGATCCTCGGGTGAGCAGGTCCCCACCGCCGCCATGGTCCCCCTGTACGGGACCGGCCATCAATGATGATAATAATGATAATACTACTACTAATAACAATAATAACAATAGTATAATAATAATAATAATAACAATAATAATAATAATAACAATAATAATAATTACTATTATTCTAATTATTATAATTCCGATTATAATAATTGAAATAATAGATGTGATGCGTCGTGGCTCAATCTCATTAGGAATCGGAATGTGTGCAATTGGCTTATGTGTCTTCTACATTTTCAGTGCTATGTGGGAGTCCAGACTAGTATCAGATTTCCCATACCAGACCTCACAAGGTCAGGCCATTTACGTGAGTACCAGCCTCTAGTTTCACAAGAAATCACACCGTGAGGTGTTTTGGTATACCAACGATGTATGTTGTATGATTAACAGTTGACGAGAAATTATGCGCAACTCGTTTGTGCTCGGTTACAATTTTTGATGACAATTGATAACACATTACGATGACGCGAGGATACGTGATAGGTAACCGCTGCCTGTGTTCTGCGACGATCGACACTGACACGTATGACATGATAACAGTAATGGCAGTGATGATGATGATGACAACGGCCCCAACAACGATGGCAGTGACGATGACGATGACGGCGACGATTACGATGACAGTTACGAGGGTGACAGACGACGGTGACGGAATGTGAGTAACCGCGCATGACCCACCCTCTCTCCTGCGTCGTCATTACAGTTGTCGAGCAGCTACAGCAGCGAAGAGCTAGGCTGGTACGTCGAGCAGCTCACCGCTCTCAAGCTGTTCCTCGAGAGAAACCAGCAGTTCAGCAGCAACAACGCCACGCCCGACAGGTAGCCTCCTCCCTTCCTGCCCCCGCACCTGCCCCCCACCCTGCCCTCGCCAGCAGCTAGCCTCAATCCTCCTGCTACGCGAATTCTATGGTTTACGAACGTCACTTTTTCTTAGAATTCTTGTATTCTTATTCTATTCTTCTAATCTTATATTCTACTCCGATGATTTATTGTAATCAAATTGAGTAGTAGCAGCAGCAGCAGTACCACCACCAGCAGCAGTAGCAGCAGCAGTAGCAGCAGCAGCAGCAGTAGCAGCAGCAGTAGCAGCAGCAGCACCTCTACCACCTCAGCAGAGCGAGCAGTGCACTTACACCACCACCATCCACCACCACCACCAGCAGCAGTGGACCACTACCACCACTAGCAGTCAGCACAGCAGCAGCAGCAGCAGCAGCAGCAGCAGCAGCAGACGTCACATGCATCACTCATGGTTCCTCATGTGCATGTTGCAGGGGAGGGATGCTGCCGCAGAACGTGCATCAGCGCATGCTCAGCTTCATGCAGCCTGACGCGACCGTGTCCGTATCGGCCGCCGGACACATGGACCAGGTCCAGCAGCAGCTGCAGTCCAAGTACCAAGGTGTGTGCAGCGTCTGTGTCCGTCCAACTCTCTCTACGTTTGTCTCGCGTGTACCGACGCCATCTGCCTGTGCGGGTCCGTACGGGAGAAGTTTCACGCGGTTGTTGTTGTTGTTGTTGTGGTTGTTGTTGTTGTTGTTGTTGTTGGTATTTTGTTGTGGTTGTTGACGGTGCTGGTCATTTTCCATATAGTTTTACATAGTTTTTGTGGTTGTTGTTGTTTATAGCTGAGGTGCAGGAGCAGGAGAAGAGTTTGTTGTTATTGTTGTTGTTATCATTATTGTTGTTGTTTACAGCTGAGGCGAAGGTGCAGGAAAAGAAATTGTTGTTAATGTTGTTGTTATTGTTGTTGTTGTTGTTTACAGCTGAGGCTCAGGTGCAGGAGAAGAGCTCGTTGTTATTGTTTTTGTGGTTGTTGTTTATAGCTGAGGTGCAGGTGCAGGAGAAGAGTTTGTTGTTATTATTGTTGTTATTGTTTACAGCTGAGACACAAGAGAAGAGATAGTTATTATTGTTGTTGTTGTTTACAGCTGAGGCTCAGGCGCAGGAGAAGAGCTCGTTGATGAACCTGTATCGTCTCGTTGTGCGAGCGTGTGAGACAATCGGTCTCTGGAAGATCCTCTGTGACCATCAGTTCCACATCGTTGTAGCCAACCTCAGCCGGGTGAGGGATCTCATGTCCATCTTGCAGTCACTGACATTGTGCACATTCACACACATATATATAAATATAAAAATAGCATGAGCTGTAAATTTTTTATAATAAATTATTTAAAAAATTATTCATTTAAAAAAAGGTGTCAATAAAAAAACCACCCCAATTTAATTTTATCTGCATGGTTATCTGTGTGTTTTTACTTGTATATAATGATATATATATATATTCTATATTTATATATAAGTTATGTTCATAATATTCCTATTACATATTACTTTACATATACACATTGTATTTCATTGTGTGTTACATTCATATTCATATTAAAAATTAGCCGATCGTATATACATTACAAACATATTAAATATCGTATTTACTTGATCATACATACCCATATGATAATATTCAATGTATAGATAGTTTTCACATGAATGTTAAGTATTGTTGGCTATTTATAGGAGATGCAGTCTCAGCTACACACTCTCACGTTTAAGGAGTTTGTCATCGCAGGCAAGGAGGTACGAAACGCTATGTGTAGAACAATCACGTCGTTGACCCATCGTATGAAATACAATTCATTATATATTGCCAGAAGTACAGAATAGGCGTGTACGTCGTCAGTAACGTCGTATATGGTTGCGACGTAATAGGAGTGTAACCGGTCATGGCTTTTGCTCTTGAAGTGTTTTGAAAATGTTATGACAGTTTAGTATTGTGAAACTCTATGTATTTATGATGTTTATGACAGTTGGCTTCAGCTGGTGCACTTTTGTCATGTACGCAAATGCATGCAAATTTTTCACGAAGTATTTCCAGAATTCTTCGTTACTTGTGCTTCTGTCTATCATATCGATCTGATATCGAAATTCCTAATGATGGTCACGAAAAACAAAGCGAAAAAAAGCAGGTGTCGTAAATTCTTCTGCAGCGGTATTATGCCACAGCATGTACAATGTGTATAAGAGTAAAGCGAGATGGTGATTCCTTTAGCGAGGTCGACTCACGCGTGAGAGCTTTACCTATACCTTTACCTTTACCTTTTTCTATTTAGATCGCGAACAGCCTGATCCTGTGTCTGATCAGCCGTTACCTTGGCGACAACGCGACGACAGACGCCATTAGCAGCAGACTGCGCGAGGTGTGTCCGTCGCTGTACAGCCACAATGACTCCGTCTGTGCGAAGGTACATGCCACGCTAAAGCTCTCACGCGCTTGACATTACGTGTACAGCTCAGGAGCCTGTTTCGTCAAGAAACATCAGATAGTTCCGCATGTTGTGACTCTAAAATGTCCCGACTTTTGAAGTGAAGTGTTATGATCAAAAGTATATGTATCATATTGTAGAGACTTGAGGTTATAATATTTATCTCTCTCGCTCTCTCTTTTCTCTCTCTCTCTCTCTCTCTCTCTCTCTCTCTCTCTCTCTCTCTCTCTATCTCTCACTCGGTCCCTTTCGGTCATGCAACGATGAATTATAACTATTTATGATTCGTGCAGCAGCAAAGGTTGTGACATTTTAGACCTATGGTAGTCGTAACTGTTTACGGTGTTTTTGACGATGGAGCGCTAGGATCTAACGATATATCGTGTACTTACCCTAGTCGGACTGACGTGTTGAATGCTAGGATGGCGCTTTATTACTCTTACCAAGTCATACTAACATTACTTTTAAGCCACGCGGACTGGTTACGTCTATACGTGGGGGAAATGTCAGAGTGAATGGGATAAATTAATGATTAAGCAGTGAAGATAAGACCAAGTTTGTTAAACAGGGGGCCCGTTATTCGTTCATCATGTTGAATCAGAAAAAATAACAAAGATGGCCGCAACCATGGATACGGGACGAGGCCCCTTCACTTCACACTTGTGATCAAACGTGCTGTCTCCCTGTGACTGAGCAGTCGTCCTTCTCACATCTGTCTCTCATTACCTCACCTGTGTTTCGTTATTACCTCGTTAAGCCCATCGCTAATGACCGCGCGCGTGTGTCGTCGTCGCAGGCGAGCGAGGTGCTGCAGATGTCGAAGTCAACGCAGAACAAGCAGGACAGGCACGGCATGCTGGAGGAGTCGCTGCAGAGATACAAGGAGATCTCCACGCAGCTCAACCTGCCACTCATCTGCAGCCAGTTCCAGGAAGGTGCGTCCGTCACTCGTACGAGCGCGTGTGAGAGAGAGAAGAGAGGAGAGAGAGAGAGAGGTAGGGGAGAGGGTGAGGGAGAGGGGGAGAGGGGGAGTGATACAAGGAGATCTCCACGCAGCTCAACCTGCCACTCATCTGCAGCCAGTTCCAGGAAGGTGTGTCCGTCACTCGTACCAGCGCGTGTGAGAGAGAAGAGAGGAGAGAGAGAGAGAGAGAGAGAGAGAGAGAGAGAGAGAGAGAGAGAGAGGGGAGAGGGTGAGGGAGAGGGGGAGTGATACAAGGAGATCTCCACGCAGCTCAACCTGCCACTCATCTGCAGCCAGTTCCAGGAAGGTGCGTCTGTCACTTCCGGTAATGGCGCCCAGTGAATAAGACGTGTTGTACATCGGCTCCCATATATTTTGAGAAAGTTAAAGGAAAAGTATCCAAAAATTTACATATTATGCGTGGAGCTAAGCAGAAGGTCTCGAAAAACTCCATGCACAACTACGTGATGAGACAAAACAAGGAACGAAAGGAGACAGTGGAGATTTCTATGAACGCTGAACCCGGCACTTCAGTTAGCGTGGCTACTGCAATGGCGCACATCGATAAAGCAGGTGCCGAAGTCACGAACGCAGAGCTGCGAGAACTCGTCGTCGGCCAAAATGACAAGTCTGAATAACAAATTAGTAAGGCGGGGTCTTTCCCCCGACGTCACAGAGCAGATCACACTATTAACCGAACAAAATGGAAAACCTAGAGATGCGAGGTTGACTCGGTACAAATAAACCCAGAGCGGACGATCTGAGCACCAGCTACCAAAATTTAACACAAGCAAGTCGAAACACTAAAGCAGTCGCGTCCTAACATAACGCCAAGTCCACGGCAGAAAGTATAACCTCCTTATCTATGGAGTCGAGGGATACGAGAATGAACCAGCACGCACTATAGAAAGAATAAAAAAATTTGCAGTCGATGACCTAAAACTGGAAGAACAATACGTGATGAAATTATCAATCCGCAACGCACATCGCCTAAGGAAACGTGACAACGGACCCACACCGATAATCGTCGTTTTCGGATACTGGACAGAGAGAGAAACCTTTCTACGCGCGGGGAGAAACCTAGCCGGAACCGACAAGAGCATCAGAACAGATTTGCCGCCCGAGCTGAAACGAAAACAAGGGATGCTGGCGCGTAAAGCTTTCGAGCTCCGAAGTGAGCAACATATTCAAGCCAGGGTCGTAGAACGCGGCATCGATATCTGCATCGAAACAAGAAAAAACAGTACGGAGCCCTGGAAGAAGCGATCGGGAGACTGAAGAATCTTGGGCGAATATGTGCAAATACAATAGGCATGTATCTGTATCTTTAAAATCAGCGGTTCAATTAGCCCAAAACTACGAACATATCGAGTGCTTTTAGGGAGGCTCGACGATCGAACACGGCGCCAGCCAATCAGAAGCGCCGTCACGAATTTACTTCGGGGAAGCCAGATGATAACGGCTAACGTATGGAAGATAACCGTAAGGGCGTAGATAAATGCAATTATAACCTTTTAGTTTAATATAGATAATAATTTCAGAAAATTTTTGTACCATTAATATACTGATGGGAGCCGATGTGCTAGTCTTAATTTTCACCCATATGGCGTTCTCACCAGGAAGTGTATACGTGTATATGTGGTCTGGTATGTGTGTCTGGCTTCTATACAGTAGTAATACTATGCTATCCCTAGTTCAACAGCATTATTACAGATTACCTTCATAAACAGAACAGTAATAAAATGGCTCAGTTAAACATACAATCTCTAAATACTAGAGGCCTGGCAAATCTAATTAAACGTAGGCACTTTTTCAAACGATTTCGGGAACAAAATGTGCACATATGCTGTCTACAAGATATTCATATTGACTCCAAATTTGTAAATCGGGTCAAGGCAGAATGGGGTTTAAGCGCAATTATATGTCCATTCACATCAAACGCGAGAGGCGTGGCAGTTCTATTTAATACTGGTTTTGAATACAAAATACACAGATGCGAAATAGACCCTTATGGAAATTTTATTATTCTAGATATTACCCTATCAAACCAAGTGCAGTTTACATTGGTTAACCTGTATGGACCAAATGATGACAACCCTGAATTATATACAAATATATTTAACATTATTGAAGATTTTGGTAACGTAAATTACATCCTATGCGGAGATTGGAACTTAGTTATATATTCGGAAAAAGACCTTTTTAACTATAAAGCGGTTAATAACCCCAGAGCACGTAACCTAGTTTTGTCAGGTATGGCAGAGAAGGGTCTAGTAGACATATGGAGAGCATTCCATGAAAATGATCAACATTTTACATGGTCAAAAAGAAACCCTATTAAAATGGCGCGCTTAGACTTCTTTCTGGCCACTGAGAATCTATTATCAATTTTTTCAGATGCGTATATTCTCCCGAAGTATAAATCGGACCGTGCTTCCGTGAATGTTACTCTTAACACATCTTTTGAAGAGCACAGAAAAGGATACTGGAAATTTAATAACTCGTTACTCTAAATACGTTAAACTAATAAAAAATGAGATAATAAATATAAAATCCATTTATGCTGCCTAACCCTATAACCCAGAGTATATATCAACCTGTCAATGTAAAGATCTTCAACTCAATATCACGGATCAACAATTTTGCGAAACGCTATTAGTCCAGCTCAGAGGAAAAATCATTTCTTATGCCTCTCGTAAAAAACAGAAAAACCGTGAATCAGAAAAAACATTAGAGCAAAAAATTAAAACGCTGGATGACCAAATAAAAGCACACCCCAAGACTGCAAGAACCAACCTAGATATTTTAGAAAATTTAAATTTAGAATTAGAAGATATTCGAAACAACCACGTTAGGGGGAATGTGATTCGATCTAGAGCAAGATGGCATGAGCTAGGTGAAAAACCAACATCCTATTTCTGTAATCTGGAAAATAGAAACCACATGAATAAAACGATACTAGAACTAAAAAAAGAGGATGGATCTTCAGTGATGAACCGAAACGGAATCCTACAAACACAAAAACTTTTCTATGAAAAATTATATGCATGTAAAAATGACTATATCACTAACGCATGTTTTTTCGAAAAGCTCAATATAGAGGATATACCAACACTATCAGAAAACGAAAAAACTAGTCTTGAAGGTTCAATCACATATAAAGAACTTTTAGAAGCGCTAAAAAGATTCCAAAATAATACAAGCCCGGGTTTGGATGGATATACTTCCGAATTCTTTCAATTCTTTTGGTGCGACATTGGACAGTTTTTACTGCGTTCCATTAACTATGCCTATGGCAATAACACAATGTCCATAACAAAAAAGCAAGGTCTGATAACCTGCATACTTAAACCAGGTAAACCACGTAATCGTCTAAAAAAACTGGCGTCCAATCTCTCTACTAAATCTGTCTTATAAACTTACGTCATCCTGCATAGCCGAAAGAATCAAGGCAGTTCTAGACAGGCTAATAAATGAGGATCAAAAAGGCTTTATTCCAGGGAGATTTATTGGCGAAAATATTCGGCTATTGTATAACATTATTTTTGAGACCCAGATGCAAAATACAGCAGGAATGTTATTACTAATTGATTTTGAGAAAGCTTTTGACACAATTTCCTGGGGTTTCATTAAAAAGGCCCTTGATGTTTTTAATTTTAGAGATTCATTTAAAAAATGGATTCAACTGTTTCAAAGAGGTACAGAATCCTGCATCACACAAAATGGACACTTTTCAAGTTTCCTGAAACTAGGTAGAGGCTGCAGACAAGGGTACCCAATCTCTCCCTACATATTTGTTATGTGTGCTGAGCTTCTGGGGATTGCAGTTAGGCATAATAAGAGCATTAAAGGCAATAAACTGTGGGATCAAGTTTTTAAAATATCACAATACGCAGATGATACTTCCTTCGTATTAGATGGTAGTGAAGAATCACTAAGAGAATCTATGAGCACTCTAAGATAGTTTAACAATGTCTCAGAACTCAAGGTGAATATGGATAAAATTAAAGCTGTCTGGCTAAGGTCGATGCGCGAGTCAGATCGACGTTTTTGCAGAGAAAACGATCTTGATTGGTCAAACTCTTTTACTACCTTAGGCGTGGATTTTCCAGTTTTAGATATATTCTCTATTACCAAACGTAATATTATGCCAAGGCTACAAAACATGAAAGCCCTTCTTAGTACTTGGTCCTATCGTAACCTAACTCCGCTGGGGAAAATCACAGTGATTAAATCTTTTGCTCTATCTAAAATTAGCCACTTATTGATATCGCTTCCAAATCCCAGTGTTGAAACTATAAAGGAAATTGATACTATGTTTTCTCAATTTATCTGGAATAAAAAGCCTCAAAAAATTAAAAAGTCAATGTTAGTAAAAATGTATGATGAGGGGGGTTTGAAAATGGTTAAAATGGAAAATTATGTAAACAGTCTAAAATTATCATGGGTTAGAAGATATTGTCTAAAACAGAATACTTGGAGTGTATTTCCTGAAAGATACAGTGTCAACACCATACTAACAATGGGCCCTACGTGCCTAAAGCAGGTTCCAAAAATTGAAAATCCATTTAGGTCAGATGTCGTGTCTGCATGAAAAAAATTTAGTGGAAAATTTATACCCGGCACTTTAACAGATATATTGAACCAACCACTTTGGGAAAATCCTTCTGTAAAACTAGAACTTATCAAGGCATGGCAGAATAAAATTTTTATACGTTTTGGGGATCTTGTAAAAAAAATAGTAACATTAAAACACTACAGGAATTAAGATCAGACTTCAAAATAACTATTACCTTTCTTGATTATCATAGATTAATAAAGGCAGTACCCAAAACATAGCTAGATAAAATTATGGCCCAACAAATTCCGCATTGTGGGGTTATACTCTTACAGTTGCAGGCTATTCTAGCGGTTAAAAAAGGCTGTGGTGCTTACACAAATATTTATTCCCAGAGTAAAATAGATATTTCATTCTCCCAAAATAAATGGAGGCGGGATCTTGCTTTTCGAGATGATTATAGTATTAACTAGAAAAGAATATATAGGCTACCCTTTTTAGTTACACTTGACACACGTTTGAGATACTTCCAACACAAGATACTCCATCGTATCTTCCCAACAAATAAATATCTTGCCCTTGTTAATATCAAGGATTTTGACAAATGCTCCTTCTGTGGATCCTACATAGAATCAATGATCCACCTGCTTGTTGAATGTGAATACGTACTACAGTTATGGTTGGACTTGCGGCAGTGGTTGGGCTTATGCGGCTATGTATATATTAGATGGCTTTCACCCATGGATATTATACTAAGAAACCCTGAGGAAGACATAACATTAAATTTTATAATATTAATCATCAAATATGTCATCTATAGATGCAAACCAAGCGGTAGGAGCCTAAACATTGCTGCAGTTAAGGCATACCTGAAATACGTAATGGAAGTTGAAAAATATATTGCTACGACAAACAACAAGATTGAACAATTTTATGGTAAATGGGCAACTCTATTACATAAATTATAACAATATAAATCACATTTTAGTGTGTTTGTGTGTGTGTGTGCGCGCGCGCGCGCACATCTACGTGTACGTATGCGTGTGTGTGTGCATGTAAATATATAAGACATGAGTAGGATATAAATGTTTGTCATATAATATTACATGATGTTTAGTAAAATTGTTCTTTTCATGCTCAAGGCCTACAGCTACTACTATGCTAATTACCTTCATTTATGAACTTCTTGTAACGAAGTATAATTAGTATGCTCATATATGCACTACTTTGTAAAACTGTTTATGTCATTTACCTGTTTTCACCATCACTGATCTATGTTACCATCACAGTGTTGTAGATATTCTGTATAACGTATAATATAATGTAATGTACATATGTGTTTCTGGAAATAAAGGACATTATAAAAAAAAAAAAGGTGCGACAAAGCAGCT